TTTTCCACTGATGTACTAGTTCACAAACTGAAGCACACCATCTACAAAACAAAGTACTAAATACATTTAAAATTTCAGACCATGAAATATTAATAGGTTATGATACTCCTCCCTCCATTCCTCTACATAACTTACCTTATTCTCCATTCCTCTCCCATACCCTGCGTAAAGCGGGAGCTTTGTGTACTGGGTACGACCTTTTTTTATTAACGGTATCCATCCAACTCTGTAGTCTCATAAACAATTGATGATTTTGCAGCAATGATGACACTATATTTGGCAATGTAAGTCTTGGTAATGCTGACGAGCTGTGGTCTTCCTCTAGAGATGCAACTGACAGTCCAATCAAAGCCTTTCCTGTTTCTTCAGACTCACCAAGTTTCACATCAGGTGCAGTAACGAATGCTTCTGAGTATTTGGAAATTAAAACAGACTATATCCAGAAAGATAACCAGTCAATCACCCCAGGCTATGGGAAGATGGATTATTCTGCAAGTTATGGTCTGCAGAATGCACATGCCGCACTTGATCATGTAGAATATGCTGGAGGTAAAAGTAAGACCATGGAAAAGGAACAGGTATGAGTTAATCTAAACTTGATTAGTCCATCGCATATTCATGCCTTTCACCTAATCAAGAAAGTGATCTCATAATTGTATTTGACTTTCACAGTCAGATATGGACACAGGAAGAAGCACTCTGACAAATTCTTCCTTGAATGCTGAAAATTCTTCTTCCCCAAATGAAACAGCTGATAAGGTACTACCATTTTTTTCTATTTTTCTCTCTTATGTTCTGATATGTCAAGGTGCTGTGATGAGGCAAATAAGTTATGAAAGTTAGTAGTCTGTCTGATGCCTTAAAATATAATACCATTTAAGATGGGGGAATACTAAGAAATCACTTTAAAAATGCAAACGGTGTGTCAACGTTGCGTAATGGAAGTCTGTTCAGCCGGGAGGTAGAACCAAATTGTTAAAGAGGTGTAGTAAAAAATTTCATCAACTGAGATTCAGAGAGTCTGATGTGCGTAACATCAATTGTAGAAATGTTATAATCATTCTAATGATCCAACTAAAAAGAAATGTTCTCTTTCTTCTATGGATTGATATGGTTATGTAATATTTTGAACATTTTCTTTGATGCCATAACTTTATCTAGGAAGGAAAAACCTTGACTGATTAAATATCAAACACAATTTGATAGTTTGTACTTTCCATATCATTCAAATTAGGTTAATAGTGTCTTTCCCTTGATATATGCAGGTTTCTAGGCAGAAAAAATTAATGAGGTATCGTAAAAAGTTGGAGGAAAAAAGTGAGGAGAAATCATTGCAAGATTTTTATGGTACTTGGCCTTCATCAAGAACCCCTTGTGGACATTTTGAGAACCAATTGGAAGGCTTCATGGTAGAATCCTCTCCTTCTACAGCTCCCAAGCAGAAGAGACTGCTTCAAGGACCTGATCCCTCACCCTACCAGCATATCCCAAACCAATGTGCAGCCCAGTCTATGTATGGGAACCTCACAAATCCATCTACGCATGTGTCATCTCACATTCAACCTGGGAAATTTAAGCATCAAAATTTGTTTTCTGGTTGTGAAGTTTCTTCTGGGAATGCAAATGCTATAAACAAGTCAGTAGATACTTCAGCAAAGCCTCTAACCATGTCTCCTCAAGAGAAAATTGAAAAGTTAAGGAGGCGGCAGCAACTACAGGCAATGCTTGCCATTCAGAAGCAACAACAACAATTTAGTCATCAAATCTCTAGCACCCATCAGTCTAGCACTCAAAAAGGCCCTCAAGAAAATCAAATTCAGTATTTTGAGAGAGCTGATCTGGAAGTTGAAGGCTTAAGTACTCTTCCTTCTCTGGACCCGAACTCAACCGTAGAACAAGATGATTCCAGTATTGTTTCTGCAGCAATTGATGATCACTCAGCTGAGGATACAATACTTTACAGGCTTCAATATATTATATCAAAGGTATGCTCAATTTCAAATTTGATTCTTCTCCTGGTAGGGTAAATGAATTAGATTTAGTTACAACTTACAATGGAAAAACAATGTTTACAGTTGGACATCAAAATAAGACTTTGCATACGGGATAGCTTGTACCGGTTGGCTCAAAGTGCAATGCGGAGGCATTATGCTAGTGATACTAGCAGTTCAAACAAAAGTAGTAAGGTTGAGGGTGAAGTCTTTGCAGAGGAAATCAATAATCATAACAGGTTAACGAGTTTTCTTTGTTTTTATAGTTTTACATTTTCATTTTGGCTCAAGTGGTTATCCTTTGTATGCTGATTACCTACATGCATTTTACGTCCTTAAGGCGGCCTGTCCCACGTCGGACAATGGAAGTTTAACATACATGCTTAAATGATCTTGGGCCTCTCCGCCCATGGATATTTGTCTTTGGGTTCGATGCTCATATTTTAGCATGATATATGGCATGCCCAACGGACTTCAACTGTAAAAAATTGTCCATGCATATGGTAGGATGTAAATCTATTCTCTTAAAAAAATTTGGGTCTCCACACATTGCAAATTGGTTTTGGGTTGGGTGATCACATTCTCCCCAAACTGTGAAAGAACAAAAATTTACTCATAAGCAATTGAAAAAGAAAAGGGAAACAGTCATCCTAGGTTATAAACCTTATAAAATTCATGAAACTAATGAACGTGAGTCGTGACTGTCTTAAACTTGTTAAAATTTTAGTTTGAACATAACATGTATCATTCCCCTTCATCACTTGGTATTAATCCTAGCAATATAGGAATGTTAACAATACACTCCATTTAGGAAGGGGGGTTGGGGGTGTGTGAGGGCAAAAAGGATCATTTAATCAGCTGGATTCTTGTACAGAAACCCAGGTAGAAAGGTCAGTTCTAGGAAATTTTATAAAGAAATAGGGTATTAGTAGTCAAATGGTTGTATCTAATCTCACCTCGTCAAAGTGCTAACAGGTTTGTCCCGAAATATTGCACACCCATGTTTCACTGTCTGTCCACCTCTTTGGTTGTTCTTATATAATCCATTTTCCACCATTTTCATACCTCCTTTCCACTCTTAAGTAAATGGGAAATGGAAAAACTTATGTAGTTCTTTTCTTTTATCACCGTTTATGTTTACATCTTCTTGACTATATTCGAAAGCCTTTGTCTGTTTGACCTTTTGTATTGCTTTATCGATTTGTGGTGGACTGACTGATCAATTTCATATTTGGGTCAAGGGTAAGAATCATTTCGTCTTTGTGAATCATCACTCACTTTCCTGTTAATCCTATGGTATTGTAGGTTTGGTAAAATACCAGATTTGGAAACAGAGACCAATCCCATAGATCGAACTGTGGCTCATTTGCTCTTCCATAGACCCTTGAATTCATCGGGAAAAAAATCTGACGCATCTGAATCACCTATTTCTACCAAGTTGTCATGTGAACACAAAACAGCAGGCTTGGTGAACTTGTCAAATGAATGCTTTCCTGACAGTCTGAAGAACAAGCAGTGCTTTCCTCGCCAAGGATCTGAAAGCTGTCGCCCATTCCCTGAGCCCAGTTCTGTGGACCCGTTTAAAACCAGTCCTTTGGTGGGTAACTCAGAAAACGCATCTAGCACTGGTCCGGATGATGGTGGAACTATGGAGGTTGAAGCCTCTCTGTGAAGAAATGCGTGTGCCTCAGAATTCGACAAGGGTAATTCCTTCCTTTATCTCTCCCATGCTTGTTAATAATTTAATTCGTTTCACATACACGGCTGTATGGATTTACTGATAACGCGGAGATTTCCTTTCGTTGTCAGCCATATAGTCTTAGTGGTCGAGGAGCTTCAGCCTTCGGACAACATTACCGATGGGGAGGGAGTATCCTGTAAACCAATCTGCTCTGTAAAACTAGTTGCGTGCATATATATATATCCATGTTTCAAGACTAAAGTCAAGTGTCATAAGATTAGCTGGTGTGTTTCCTTAAACATATTCAAGGCAATACTTGAGACCTCTGTTAGTAATATTTTCATGTACGAAGGGCGGGAGCCACGTGTCTAGCTAGTATTGGCCTATTGGTGCACTCCGGATCCGCCTCTTCGGCTAGTAAGAAATTTATACGTTCAGATTGCGAAAATATATCACGAGTTAATCTGAGATTCTTTCGTAATGTGCTTGGATAAAGTAGATGTTTTATATTGCTGTGTAAAGATATGAACAATTGAAATCGCTTACAACGTTTTCAACTTTAACCGTGTGTTAATTTAGTCCTCAACGTTGAATTTGAACAATGTTACTATAAACTAGTGCCATAAAACCTAGTTTTACAGACATAAAGCGATGTTGGGCGATGATATTTAAACACATGATCTCGGGTGCATGATAAATGTTGTTAATGTTTGTGGAGACTTGGATATTTCTATAGGGATCTTGGTATAGAAAAAATGACAAAGGTGACCGTCACCTTCCCACACTGATAACATCGGCACACCCATCGACCACTGCCGCTAATATAAAAAACTTTTTACTTCTACAATGTTATACATTCTGTCAATAGAAAATTAAAAAAAAATAGATTGAGTTAAGTACGGATAACCACGCAATTTTTTGGAATGATTTCAAATTAATCTCACCTTTTTAAAATATTCTAAATAACTATCTAAAACTTTTATTAGACATCCGTTAGGTCACCGGCGACAATTGTACCAACATTATGTGGTTAGGTCACCGGCGACAATTGTACCAACATTATGTGATGATGTTTTTAGTATTAAATGATGAGTTGGACAAATATTAAAGTTGGTATTTACTAATCGTTGTTTTTGGAGCTCTAATTTGCCAAATCGACTCCTAGTCATGTTAAAATCGTAAATTTGTTTAGCTAAATTGCATCCACATGGAAATTCAAAGCTTCATAGATGATTTGAGAGTAAAACTTACTTTAACAATTGTCTACATCATCACTTAACGATAGTGAAATTTAAAATTATTTACAGTGGTGGATTGGGACAAAAATACCAAGAAATCCAAGTTATATTGATGAATGTACGGATCACATTAAGAGAGGATGCCAAATTCAACCACCACCATGACTAGTACTATCTAAAACCAAGCCAATAAACCAACACCAATCTTTGTATCTCGGTCGAAACCCTGTCTAAGATATAAGCTTGTGTTTGTAACTCAGCACTCATCACTGCATAAAGTGGCACGTAAATCTCGTACAAGAATCAAGCGACGCAGCGGTAAGTTTCAAGTGGTCCAGCAAATCCCCCGCTGTAATTGACTTTTACCACCTGCCCCTTCTCCAATCCGTAGTATCGTGCAGTTGCATCAGTTGCCAGCATCAGAGGGAGCTGAGGAAGAAACATAAGAAAACTAAATTAGACAACATCTGAGTCACGTCTTACTTTTCAATCTTAAAAGGCAACCCCAAGTCAACAAGGCTTCCTGCTTTTCATATCAGTTATTCGCTAAGTAAACAACTCCAATTATATTTTAATCAAACACTGAAAAACCAGTTATATGTTAGCAGCCAACAAAAGTTTGACTGCAAGGTAAGAAGATTTTGACTGCAAGCTATTTTGAGGGAAAATTGCTTCAGGATTGGATGGTTTTTCCCTTTGGTGCATACTACCAACGCAAGTTTTTTCAGATCAAAATGTTTGAATGGCTACCTTGTTCCCTGCTAATAGGGTAAAGCACTTCTTAAACCAGCTATCGAGAGCTATATGTCACCCGGAAACTAGCTAGCTTCCTTGTCAATCAAAGCAGTAAGGACTAATAACTCGTAAAGCAACTGTTCTAGTTAGCCATGCATCTCGATATCACGATGCTGTAAATTTTCAGCCATTAAAAGTCATGTTCTTTTGATAGACCAACACACAAGGTATTTCACACTTCGTTAATAGGCATGTACTGATCAGTGACGTGCTCCGCCAAGACAAAGTAAACAAATTAAGGTTATTTTCCAACATAAGGATAAATAAATAATACATGTAGAGTTACCTTCTTGTCTTCCAAGTTGTATTTCATTAGCAGCTTCTTCTTTTCTTCAGCAGTAAGCATCTCAAGCTTCGGCTGTGAAACATGCTTTGTGATATTCACCAGCAAGTCCGAGATCTGAAGCCAACACACAAGTTATTTAGGGAAAAATGCACAAAGAAAAAGTAGAGAGGAAACCGTAGGACTGACTGAACTTATGCTCGACTCCAATTATTAAGGGAAAGAAGAGCAAGGATAACATACTCATTGTTTTACCATCCTTGAACTTTCACCCGAAACAAAAGAAAGATGAAAACACAATCATTAAAACAGAGAAGTGTATCTGCATACGAGAGCCATTGCCCAGAATGATGCAATCAAAACCAAAAGAAAACCAGTAGACTAAGAAGAACCATCCGAGGAAATCCAGATGACCGATATTTCTTGTTATTCAGCATAAAACAAACATTAAATGCCTCCACAACTAACATGGTTGTCCTTAAGACACTTGAAAAAATGGTGAAGTATAATGCAAATGAAAAATAATTATCAGGTAACTTACATGGAAGGTGTCAACTTTAAATGGATACTTTTCAAGTTCTTTCCGAGCATAGCAGTTCATTTTACTTTGTAAGACAAGAATCAGCTGGTGAATACTTGCTTTGTTCGGGAGGCCAGCATAGATACCGCACATGTTGCGTTTCCTTATCTCGTCAGTTCCACAAAAGATGACAACAATCTGCAGAGAAACTCAACATTCAGTTGCATCATTGATACTGCAATGGGAGCGTGCGGGATTACTTTGGAAAAGAGACACCGATAAAATTACATTTCACTTACCACTACGAAATCTTTGGTTCTAAAGAACCTTTTCTTTGAGATAATTTCCAACTTCGAACAAGAAAATAAAGCCAATCAAACTCAAAAAATTTCGCTCCATGAAGCATTGTTCATTTCTTCCAGAATATGTCCTCATTCACTTCTCTGCTCCTAAATTTACCAAATGTAAATAGCATTTTACTTGACCCCTTCCCATATATAATACAGAACCTAAATAATCTTGGCGCCACCAGGCGGTCGAGATCACAGGAGTCAACAAGAACAATCTACAACTGAGCAATTATACGCACTTACTTAGAAAGTTCAGACTTGTACATAATTTGTCAAACTTATCTGTTAACTGTATTTCTTTGTTTACACCAAAGATATGTATTTTCTGCATCAGACCGACTACTCTCTAAAAGCTTCAAACTTGAGAAATTCTCTTCTTTTTTTGTGAACAAAAACGGTAGGAACGTTGAACAAAAGGTGTCATGAACTTCTTTTCACGGAGAAGAATCAATGACGGCATTTGAGCGATAAGCTTCGGCTAACTCTGTGCCAGCAGCTGCGTGGTAATAGAGAGGATGCAACTTTGAAGAAAAGGTGTCATCCTTTTCCTTGAAAAACATTTTCTTGATGCCACATTGTCTTTTGTCGAGCAAAAAACTGGAAATTTGAGAAAAATGGGCCACTTTTACTCAGAAAAAAAATTTCTTTTCGACATTTTTTTCATCGAACAGAAAAGATAGAAACTTCGAAGAAAGTGTGTCATTTTTTAACAAAAAAATCCAGAAAAAAAAATGTCATCTTTCCTAAAGGAAACAATTTCTGGTTGCCATTTTTTCTATTTCAAACAAAAAAATCAGAACTTGGACAAAAAGGTGTCATCTTTCCTCGGAAAAAATCTTTTTTTTCGGCATTTTTTTCCTTCCATTCCCCTGTTTTTCTCAGCAACCAAACACAAAACAGAACACATACATAAGAAAGTTACCTTCTTGGAGGGCTTGGAGCGTAGATGGACGCAGACGCTGAGGCGTTCATGGTCCGGGTTGGGGCCGAACTCGGAGAGGAACTCAGTGAGCGAGAGATTGAGGTCCAAGTCAGAGACGTTGCAGCCTCGGTCCCTCAGCATTTCCATGACTGTACGACGGCACAGGTAGAACCTGGTGCTCTCCACGCTCCCTTCTGCCACGTGGCTCGTTATGCACCCCGGCCTTCCGCTGCCTCCGTCGCTGCCCGGAACGACGCCATCCCCTTTCACGATAGCCATTCAGATTCTCTCTCTCTGATGAGTGTGTGTGTGAGTGGGGCGTTTGGAGGGAATATGAATCGTTTGTATGGGCGGAGAGAAGTGCGTGTGTACGGAGTGGCCTCGAGTATGTGGAACTTGCGTTACTCGCTTGATTTTATTAGACACGCGTCCTCTTTCCTGACTTTTGGGATTTTCGTTATTCAAAATCAAATATCTAACGATTAAAAAAATTCGGAATATTGTATCCTAAGAATTATAGAAATTCCTTTATTATCATCCGCTACTAAGAAATGCTGATAACTTTTTCATTTTTTCATTTTAATATTTTCACTTCTCTTCATGTCACGTGTACTCTACTATCACTCAAAACTCAAAGTTTAATTATATTAAAATTCTACTATTATTCTTCCTCTGCTAGTGTAATTAATACTTTAATTTGTCAACCAAAATGTAATTAATTTTTTAGGTTTGCGTATTAGTAAAATACACGGGGGGAGAGTATTTGCATTCCCCCACTTGCAAGTAACCAATGACTGATAAGAATTTTAACATCGAGTGGCCCCAAACTGGTGTCTAATAATTTCCAACTAGGTAAACACTCTTCATACAATTTGATTGTTCTGTTGCACCTAGGCTGCACTGTTCTGGAAATTAGTTGAGTTGAGTCAATACACGTTGACAAAGTCAAAATGCATGACAATGCGTGATTCTTTTAAATATTCGCTGAATGGCTTTCAGTTGTACCTAAGTTTCTATCCCAAAGTAGGATAATCCTTTCTTTTGACGGATTGTTGGGATTTTAACCGAAAAATCATTCATATCGCAAAATTTAACTTAAATTTCATGAAAACTCCAATACAAGTAACTAATTTTGGTCTTACTTTGCATGTCCCTAGTTTTCCAGCCACTCGATTCTAGTTTGATTTATTCAATTCAAAGACCATAAATAAACGAGGATACGTAAGGAAGAGAAAGCTGAGTGCAAAAATTTGTTTCCTTTATAAATTGCCACTCAATTTACCTCAAGCTTTAGAAAACTTGTAGTTAACTGAAAATATTTGACATCTACTATCTACTATCTAGAAGCAGGGGCATGAAGAACAATTTGCAACAAGATAAAATATGCAATACAACATCCATCTTATTAGGGGAAACAATATGCCTTTCCATTTGTCCTTCCACGATCACAAAAAATCACCGACGTCGATTCACTTCTGTATCAATACAGCTCTACACTTCCTAAATGGCCACATACACAAAATTGGCTCTCTTTGTTTCACTTACTTATCATACTTCGTATTGCTACTCCTCCAGCACGATGATAGCGCTCCTTGTGGTTCAGCACGATTACAGTTTAATTTCAATTTCCGCTTCATCCATCCATAACCATTATAGCTTTCTGTACTACCTGAAACTAGAATTTACAGGTACAATGTTAGCTCAATATACAGTAAATAAGCATTCGTGAAGAAACTCGAGGCACACCCAACAGTAATATCTGTGAAGATTTAGTACATTTAGGCCGGTCCATACATCGGAAATTGTCCTAATTTGATTGCATCTTTTCCTCTCAACCCAAAAAAGAAAATAAGCGAACTTTCAAACACATACCAGAAGGCACCATTTTTAAGACTAAAAACAAAAGGTTTAGATCAGATTCCTTATATTACTGTTAGCTATTCTGTTAAAAATTTCAGTTTAGATCAGTGCTCTACTCACCTGAATACACCAGATACCCACCAATGGTTGTGAGACTAAAATTAGACTCCAAAGTTCAAAACTTACCCAAGAATATGATAAACATGTGGGAGCTGAACTCAACTGCCTATACAGGCCTTCGTTGGACCACCAAATCATCAGCAGAATAATAATCTGCGATAAGCCGGTACATGTACGACGGATTGTGCCCTCCCCTGTGAAGGAATAACAGTAGTAATTTACAAACTAGCTAGGAAGTAGGGAAATAGAGAACAAAATAAGTGCGGAATACTCGAGATGAGAATTTTAAATTTCTTCAAGAGACTAGAATATGATTAGATCTGGCCAGAATATTAATTTCCCTTTTCCATTTGGTTCCTACAAACAATAGACTAGAAATTCAATAGGTTAAATCTTTAATCTTTCATGAATTCAGTTCCACTTGGTCCATGAAATTAGTTGACTTACGTATCAGTGATAAATAGATTGACAAGCTTTGGTGGCACATAATCAAATGTAGGATTGACAACTTGAAGCAGAGAAGAAGCAGTGCCACTTCCAAAATCCATGCAATCCGAGAACTCCCCAAAGTCCAGCAGCTCAGAAGGAGATCTTAACTCATTCAGTAACACTTCGGGATTGTGAGGATACAAAGGGCACAACTGTCATGTAAACCACCAGGGAAAGACTTGGAGTAAGGTAACGTTTAAGGCTAAAGTTCAAGAAATGAACTGCAGATGAAATGACGCCCAGTTCAATGGTTTATTCAGTTAAAACCAACTCCACAGACAAAATCCAATAGGATCTGATCCCCAATAGTATAAACAAGCAAACACAAGGCTAATAATAGACTAGGAAGCAGCCATTAAAAACTTGAATAAGTTAACTAAAACTTAACAGAGCCGACTTTAGAAAAATAACCCTCTGACAGTAACATCAATTTTGTCTCTCTATTTCCTAGAACCGCAAAAGATGTTTATCTCGTGCTAATCTATTCATAGAAAATTCTCTAATGGTGGAACCCACTTCTTCAGCTTCTCATCTTGATTTTAAAGGAAACCCAATTTATGAATGACAGCAAGTCTCTAAAATCTCCAAGTCACGCCGAACAGTGATTGCATTAACTTACCTTGTGACTGCCAGCAAGTACAACAAAAGGGACAGCATGCCTTTGCGCTGCAAGTGCTACCATATTCAACCCGACAGGTGCTATAACCCCTCCATTGGCCATGACAGCATGAGCGCCAACAATAACCTTTAACATTACAAAATTCAATATGAAGCTGGAACAAGGATGTAGATTTTCATATGGGGAAAAAAATACATAGATCACGGATCACATCATACCATGTTGACTCGGGATATCATGGCAAAAACTGCTGAATCAGTGATCAGCGTGGTCTGTAAACCTCTTGCAACTAGTTCTTTAGCAAGAAGATGCCCCTGATACCTAATACATAGGAATTAATAACAAAATTAATGCTGACCAATAAAAATATCAAAATCATCAGTACGGATCCTATCCACTGTAACAAATACACAGATTTTTACACTAACCTTGGAGCTCCCTCAGCAACAAAAACCCGAAACGATCTTTTTTTCTCCTTTGCAGCACAAAGAAATTCCAGTACAGTTCTTGAACTACCTAAAGTTAATATAACCTCACTGCAAAAGAAACACAGTTAACATCATGATTTAAATAGCCACAATGAAACATCAATTAAAATCAATCACAAGCCACTAGCAAATATTCTCATTGAGGTCTCACTTTTTTCAAGTTTTGCAATCTCCTATTTTGTCAAGATTTGCAATCTTTGCCCTGTCCAATTATTTTCTGGAGAAATGACTATATTTTTTTCATATGAAGAGAAAATTGATCATGAGGAAAAATCTTTCATACCATCCCAACAAAAAACCCCAAACTTTATTATGCTACTGTCTCTAAGTTCAGTTTTTTACTCTATTCAAATTGTTTAACTATGTAAAAGTATGTATATGCATAAGTACATACATACATACATCCATATATATATATATATATATATATGATTCAATTTTGCCAAAAGAAAAATAGAAAGTGTTGATATGGTACTAAATTCTAAGTACTGACTAAAAGAGGCACGAATTTTTGGAGCATAAGAACTTGTCGGACCAGATTCTCATTTGTGGTGATAATCGGCTGGCCTACCAATCACTAGGTAGTGTTTATTCATGGTTAGTATATTTTTGTGACTGCCCCACAGTCAAAATTTTGTGATTACCAAAGAGTGCCACTGGAGTCCATAAAGTTATGGGGTTTCTAAGAGTTCAGGAATTCAGATTTAGGCCTATATCCTAGAGACTAATGCAATTGATAATATAAACACCAACTGAAGGAATAAAATAATTTTGCGTTTCTCATATAAAGTATAAACACAAACAAGTGAAATAAAATGTGACTGACTCAGTCACAAGGGTGCTTGAAAGATCAGGACTGATGGAAGCACGTTCAGGATCTAAACTAATTTATGCTTAGTAGCTAAACTTGAAAAGTTTTCTACCGCTGCTATGTCGAACACCAGAGAAGTTAATTTTACAACCTCAACCATGGTGACCCTAAACTAAATCACCAAAAAGTCTAACCAACTTATATGCGTGAATGAGATAATATATGCATGTTAGAAGTTAGAACATTAGCACAAAGCAATCTCACGCAAAATCATTATTATATTAAATATGCATATTTTAAGTGAAATTGAGCATATTATGACTGAAGGATGCGTTTATATTTGAAAGCAAAAAATGAACTGTAACAGTGAAACAAACTTAATAGCAAAGGCTTGGGGTAAATACATACTTATGGTGAATGTGCTCTACTGCTTGCTCAGCAATCTGTTCATGGCAAGTGCCAATATCTTGTATAAGTTCATTGACTGCTTCAATAACATCATGCTTCAGCTTCCGACTTCTTGAACTTTTATCAGCAGCTGTGAAAGAAAACAAATATCTATAAGCCATACAGCTGTGTAATCTGCCTTTAAAAGGTAATAACTTCAATTCCACCTCCACAGGCCCGACGACTAGGGAAACCAATTTTTCATTGACTACTTTTCAAACACAAATACCACATTTATGATCAGAAATAGATGTCAAATGTGTACATATCCTTTAAACAAATTTTTTTTTTTCCTAAAGGGAAAATGAAGGGTGTATCTAAATAAGTTTCTCAATGTTGCTAAGAATGAAAATCATACATTTGGTTTTTTCTTCAGAATCACCCCCAGATGAAGAAGTATGAGGAACAGCTGCTACATCAGGAATGTCCTCAAGCAGTGTTTGCAAAGATGGTGGACGCAGTGTGCTTCTTGCAGCAGCCGCAACAACAGCGGCAGATAGAGTCGAATGGTTGTCATGGTCACCATCATCTTCATCATCACTAACAGTTGTCATGTTCAACCCAGCCATAGCGGCAGTAGTGAGAGAAAGATCCTCCTCCCTAATAATGTGCAAAACACGCCTCACAATATTACCCACAGCAAGCTCTGCGATCATATGCGCAAAACATTATTATGAAAATAAAAGTATATATATAAACCTCTACGTCCAGATTATAAGAAAAAGATTTTTCCGTATATCCTAACTCCTAAGATAAATATATCTAAAATCAAATGCATATATCATGTACTTTCCTCTATATACCTGGGAGATATATCATTCGTTTTCTTTGGTTAAAAGGAGATATCATCTCATTTCATGACACATGAGTATACACACAAAAAATGGCAACACAATAAAATTTTGAATGCACAGTGAATTTTAGAAAATTTGATCATTAGACTTAGCTAACATAAGTTAAACTCACTACCATCCACTGGATTTATGCTATGTAAAGAAGACAGTTTGATATTATATGAGCATTTATGCTACTTAAAGAATACAGTTTGTTATTATATCTGCATTTCAAACCTGATACGCATATCACTAACAAAGATAAAGTCTAATTTGACAGGTGGCAAGAACATGGTCGCAAAAGTAATTGAAGTTCATCTTACTACAATTTGAAAGCTATATGTTTCCTCCAAAATGACTAGCACAAAGCACAACTTTTTTAAAACAGTAACAAGTTCTTCAGATGAGTTCTCAATGTACAGCCCTGTGTCTTTTAAGATATTACAGACAAAGATGTTTAAGTAACATGAATGACCCTTGTACTAATGAAAAAAATTTACTCCTTAAAAATAAAAAATAACAACATCGGATCATTGTGCTTTACAAAACTTATGTGACTTTTCAAAACATTACCAATAGGATTTGCAGCAATCAACCGCTCCCCAACAGCATTCACAGCATCAATCAATGCTCTGGCTTGATTTGTGTAGGGCACCCGCTGTGCTGAAATTACCGACCGAATCAATTCAGCCGTCTGTTTTGCAGTAGCCTGCGAGCCCTCAATTTTACTGCAACCGCAAAAATTTGCAATCAAATTCTGAATCATGAAATATACCTATTAACCAGTATAGTCTCTTGAGCAAGCAGCTTGCGCCAGTATAGTCTATGAATTTTCGCCAAAGAACAACTTACCGCTTTTTAAGCTTAATGAGGAAATCATTCACAAGGGAGTGCACGTCCGGCATGGCTATCACCAAATTTAACCTGAAAATGTCAAAGATATAAACTTCAAATCATCACACTCAATTTCATTTCTATGGAAATCAGAAAGACTAAAAAGAAACAAGCAAATAGAACCCTTAATCTCCGTCGTCTCGGGCAACCAAACAAAACCAACAAATCACCTGAAGTTAATACTGGGAGCTACTTTTTTTAGGTGATTTGTTGGTTTTTATATGGAAGCCAAATCAGGTGGGAATTTGAGAAAAATGAAAAACCCAAAGCTAATTAATTCCAAAAACAACAATCCACAACGAAAGTGAAAAACTTGGGGAGCTGAAAATACCCAAACCCATCTAATTGAAAACATAAGTAAAACCCCAATTATAAACCTGAGTTAAACCTTCAATCAAACTCTATATTAAACTATTAATAAAACCCAAATTAAGTTATCAATCAGGAAAGATAAAAATGCAGAGAGAGGGGTTTAAGAGGTGTACCTGGTGTGAGTGTGCGAGTGGTGCTGCGACTGATAGAGGCTGAGAGGAGTGAAGAACAAGGAGATGGGACCGAAGAAGATGACGCCGAGAAGAAGGCGAATTTGCGGAATCGGAGAAGGATGAATTTGCGGAATCGGAAATGGAGGAGAGAGTGAAGAGAGAAGGAAGTAAGCTGAGAGAGAGAGAGAGAGAGGAGAGGGACCAAAGAGAGAGGGTTACGTCTTGGAAACTTGGATTGGGTGGTGGGGACTAACATGTTTGGGCTACTGTGGAGGCCTTGTTTGGTAGTGATGATGGGCTACTATTAGACCTGACATTTCAAATCCGACTCGTTAACGAGAACTGATTTATATGTTAAAATTAGTATTTGCGTAAGGGAATTGTTATTGGTACTCTAAAAATTTCATTTTACACTCTAAATTTTTTATATTTGAAAAGAAAAAAACATTTGTGAGGAGTGTAGAATGAGATTTTTGGAATGCTAATAACAATTCCCTTACTCGTTAACAAGACATTATTTATATGTTAAAATTAGTATTTGGGTAAATGTTTAACAGGTCAAGTTGTTAATAAGTGAACCGGTTAATTAACGGATCATTTTAGGTCAACCTACGAATCCTATTAACACCCGTTATCGATAACCAAAAACCCTCGCTATTTGTCCAAACCCCAAAACAACTGAGCTTATATATGAACCAGGATCCTCTCCTGAGCAGTTCCCTAGAGATCCTAGGGATCCCGCAATCTTGTCCGTTCATTTTATATCGTGCGGTCAATTTTTGTTAAATACTATTCATATTTGAATTTTAAAATTTAAATTTTAAATAATTCTGACCGCATGATATACGATGAACGGACATAATTGCGGGATCCTTAGGATACCTAGGGAACTGCTCAGGAGAGGATCCTGGTTCCTTATATATGCCAGTACCCCTTCAATATTTGTTCCCTATTAGCGACTCCCTATTTTTTTTTTTCCGTGTGCAAAAGTATTAATCTAATCTACCTATTAATAAAATTCTTATTATCAACCAAAATACTAGGAAATTACCATTTTAACCCTGCCACCAAAACTGAACTCAAATAAAAAATATGGGCAATTTAATAATTACATGAACATAAATTTTACTGTTTTTTACAATAACCTAACAGTCAGGTTAGTATCGCATTCCGTATTCAAGACCTCTAACTCTCTCAACAAATTAGTAAGTGATTTTGCAGTCAAGTTCCTTCACTCTTCTTCGAAAAAACACCTTCGAGCTACGTTGTAGTATGATTACCGGTTGTTGTCTTCCCGACTGATCATTCTTCCCCAGAAATCCAACTTCTAAGTTTAGCCCGATACTCATATACGTAGTTCGATATGGCAAATTTTTGGCTTGAGATAGTTTGCTTTTGTCTTCTCCAATGCTTCCCTATGCTTTTAATTTTAAGTGTACGTTTCTCCTTTTTACAAGCATTTGCGTTAGCTTTCAGACATTTACCTTCTATTTCAAGATTTGTAAGCTTATGGAAGGATCGAAACCTATTTTTATTCATAACGAACAAGAATATAAATTCTCAGCATTTGAAGCATAGAAAAAGAACCAATGTGTTACTCATTATTTTTTGTAAAAACGAAAAAACAAATTCTATTTTCTCGCTAATTTACTATGGTGACCAACAATCAAATTATCATTATATTTATTCATTTTCTAATTCTTCTTCCAAGTGCAGGATGTGTAATTCAATCTTTTATTTATTTATTTATTTTTATTGAGATTCCGATTCTATTCGCACATTAAGTATTTTATTTGGGTTGCTAACTCAATGGTAGAGTAATCGGCTTTTAAGTGCAAGAAGTTAGCTAAAGGCTCAATCTACATACACTAACACATATTCACATTGTTTAGTGGTAGCATCTAATAGTGGCACGCTCACATACACGGCTCTCGAGTTTCAAATCTATCTTTGGCAAAAAGACAGTCTAGACAAAACAATTTATCGAGATAGCTTACTCCAACCAATTTGAGGCCATGTTAAGTAGAACAAAACATAAACAAAAATCTTTTTTATTTTTTATTTTGGTCAAAGAACAAAAAATGATCCACATCCTCCTTCCTTGTAAATAGGAGTTGGCCATCATTGTATGTGAGGCACAGTGGAAGACATCCATCAAACATTGTCTTAACAAAATATATCCTTAATATGTCATAACAACCTAAAAAAAGGGAAAAAGTTCCTCAGGAACCATGACGTAACATTCATATTCTCTCTTTCTGAATTCTCAAGAAGAAGACCAATCGCCTAACCATTTTCCTCTCCGCAGATCGACTCTCTCACAATTAATCTTTATGTAATTTTGTTTGAGAGAGAGAGAGAGAGAGAGAGAGAGAGAGAGAGAGAGAATGGGGGTGGATTATTACAGCGTATTGAAGGTGAACAAGAACGCAACAGAAGATGATTTGAAGAAGGCGTATAGGAAGCTGGCCATGAAATGGCACCCTGACAAGAACCCTAATGATAAAAATGAAGCAGAAACCAGATTCAAGCAGATCTCTGAGGCTTATGAGGCATGTAATTATTCATTCTCTTTCCTTCCTTTGTCGTATTTCTGCATGTTACACGTTCATTTGTTTGATTATTCTACAATCCGTCAATGGAAAGAGACGTCCTCTCTTGATTGTCAATATGTAATTTTAAGGTTTCGGTATCATATTCACCAACAAAATTGTGTCCGTAAGATGTCAAATACATTTTTGACAATGTCGATTCATGCACAGAACTTCGCTATGCACCTAGTGACGGGTATTTATGCTAACAAAGATTGTAAAATGAACGATGATTAACATAAATTTGTGTATACAACAATGATCATATAGTTGTTTAATTCACAGTTCAGGTAAATTGCTATTTCCCTTCTTCTCCACCATGATTTGTTCTAGAACTTAATTAATCTTCTTCTCTTTCTCAACATCTGCATATATTTACAACCAAATGTGGGCATTAGCCTAAATTGTGCTTAGTTATATATTAGTGATTTCCACATGTTTTTTTCTCATCTTACACACTCCAACTTATTTCTACATTTCGGATTGAATAAACAAGCATGTGCAGAAAGAGAAAAAAGTGTGCCGAAATCATTTCGTTAATTAAGTGGTTCATTTCTGAATAGTATCTAACAGTCTTTGCTCTTTCATCTATATATGCAAGCAGTTAAGATTTCATTTGGCTATATCTAGTAGTGTAAATAAAATAATGAAATGGGTTTGTGAATTCAGGTCTTGAGTGATCCTCAGAAAAGACAAGTTTATGATCAAGATGGTGAAGAAGGTTTGAAAGATATGCCACCACCTGGAAGTGGTGGATTCTCATATGGAGGTGGATCCAATGGATTTAATCCTAGGAACGCGGAGGACATTTTCGCAGAATTCTTCGGAAGTAGTCCCTTCGGATTTGGGTCATCGGGACCTGGAAAATCCAAGAGGTTCTCATCCGATGGAGGGGGGACGTTCGGAGGATTTGGTGGAGGTGAAAATATTTTTCGGTCATATAGTGAAGGTGTCACACCAAAGAAACCACAAGCAGTTGAGAGCAAATTGCCCTGCAGCCTTGAGGAGCTGTATTCTGGATCAACAAGGAAGATGAAGATCTCAAGGAGTGTGGTTGATGCTAATGGGTAACCTTTTTTTACACTCGATATTTTCTTTGTTTGTAGATTCATTGCTTGTTAGTTGAATATGTTATTCCCAACTGATACAGTTTCGATTATGGTCGTTATAATTACTAAACGGAATGGTAATTAGCACTTCAAAATGACCGTAAATATCAGCATGACCAACTATTTTAGAGTGTCAATGATATTTTTTTGTAGAAATCTCTACGTAAATATCAGCTGACTTGTTTTGCTTTTCGTTTTTCCTCCATTGGGGACAACGAAAATCGCAGGCGCCAAGTGCCGGAGCAAGAAATATTGACGATTGATGTGAAGCCAGGATGGAAGAAAGGAACCAAGATTACATTCCCAGATAAAGGAAATGAGCAGCTAGGTCACCTGCCAGCTGACCTTGTGTTTGTGATTGATGAGAAACCACACAACACTTACAAGAGAGATGGCAATGACCTCATTGTGAACAAAAAGGTGACACTGGCCGAGGCATTAGGTGGAACCACGGTGCACCTCACCACGCTTGATGGTCGCGATTTATCAATTCCGGTTACTAACATTGTGAACCCGGGCTACGAGCTCGTCGTTGCCAGGGAGGGTATGCCAATAGCTAAAGAGCCTGGCAATAGGGGTGATTTGAAGATCATATTTGAGATCAGGTTTCCTACAAGACTGACCCCAGAGCAAAGAGCTGGACTTAAACGAGCTTTGGCAGTCTGAAAAAGTGAAATACATGACCTAATTTCGATTGTAGATTGACCAACAGTTTGGGTAGTTAGGAAGTCACATACATTACAAGTCAAATCTGCACTTTTTGTATTTTTTGTGTGTGTACAATATACTTTATAAACACTGACTCCTTACATGTAAAGAGTCATTCTTCAATTGTTAACTGCAAATCACAGTCTAACACATATGCAAATGTAACTTATTAAATTTACAAAAATGAAAAATTTATATACACGTGTCAAACTGTGATTTGTCTTTACGTATTTTTCAGTGCATCTGCTGCATTCTTTCATGTATATGGTTATCTGCTGCATTCTTTCATGTATATGGTTATGTAATTAGTCAGAGATTGATTCTCTGATTTGAGGTTAAACTTCATATAGTGTGATATATATATATATATATATATATATATATATATATATATATAACATGTACTGCCATGTCTTATATGACAAGTGGATTCATTTCAGACGGGCATACCCTCAAAAGTTCTTTTCTTTTTCTTTTTGTTTGTGTGGCCATGAAGCCCTTTGCAGTTCAAATTGCATCTCCAGGGACAACCATCAGAGTTTGAAAAAAAGGAAACTGAAATACTCTGCCATTCCTCAATAGTATACTATATACACTATTTTCTTTTTTTCTTTTTTTTTAAAGATAATTTTGAGATTGATATAACTCTTCACATTGGTCTCTAAGATTTAAAATAATAGAAATGGCCATAAAATTATCCACCATCAATCATTTTTGCCATTAGTGAAAAATCTCTGTTAAATAAGGAGAAAATAACAAAAATACCCTCAAACTTGTCATATCAATTTGGCCCATAGTTCATTAAATTAAGGGTATTTTAGGTCTTTATTTAATAGAGATTTTTCACCGAATGACCAAAATGATTGATGGTGGACAAACTTAGGACCACTTCTGTCATTTCAAATCTTAGATCAAAGTAGTAGTTATACAATCACATGCATTATTTTGGCTAAAAAGCCTTTCAAAAATGAAAAATGTGTGTTAAATGAGAAGTCTTATATTCGAGTTTCATGAATGACGAGCTTAATAATATTACATTCCGATCACTTTTCAATAAAATATTATCTTTGTATAAAAAAAATTAAATAAATAAATAGAATAAAATTACCATTATGTCTCTAATTCTAAAATCAATCATTAAAAAATTGTTTAGTGTTACTCTAGGTACTTTTGATAAGTTTTTGTAGATGGTTGACAAAGGGAATTTCCTTATTTATCACTCAATAATGTAAAGACCCTTGGGTTATATATGAGTGAATGATATCTATGTTTAAGTGCTTTCAAATGATATCTATGTTTGAGTGTTTTCGAATGATCTCTATGTTTGAGGTCAAGTCAATAAAGAATGAATCATGAAATGTTGATAAAAGGGGATTTTATAAAATTCTCACTTTGATAATTACAAAACCATGCATGAGATTTTATGTGGTTTTTTTTTTTTTTTTTTTTTGTCTCATTGGACTCAAACTACTATGTCACGACGTAACTTTTTGAGAACTTTCGAAATCAAACAGTTTTATTAAAGTTTTTCTCTTCCATCAAAATGAACATTTGTTCCAGGAAAAAAAAAACCAAAAATAAATGGGAACATTCGCACGAACTTCTTTACCCAATTTGAAAGGATTTTATCTATTTATTTATTTATATGCTTTGGAAATAAGACGAGAACAGTCAGCGGGGACCCACTCGCCTCCGGCTTTGACCTCGACAGTTGACCTTTCCCATTTGTATTTCCTCGAGAAATCTCTCTCTCTCTCTCTACTGAACGCCACGCTCCTCCCCGTCCCCCACTCTCTCTCTTTTCTCTTTCAAACGGCTTTAATTTGAAATTCCTTGAGCTCGCAAACGCGCATTTCCGCGTCCCCCCTTATTATATTACTGCAGCCTGCAGGGGACAATTCCCCATAGCCGGCCACCTACCAGACCTCTCCTCTCTCCTTTCTCTCTCTCTCCGTTGGGCGTTTGATTATAATTCAAAGGTATAATATTTTCATTTTCTCCATCTTAAATTTGTTGGGTTTTATTTATTTTTCAGTTTTCTCTAATGGGTTTTTAATTTTATGGTTACCCATTTGAAATTTATGTAATTTAAGATGGAAAAGTTGGTATTTTTCTTTGAATATGTTTTGGAATTTTCTAGATCTATTGTGGACTTGACTTTGAATTTGAATGTGGGCATGCGATGTTGGAGTCCGATTATGGCATTTAGACGAACCCATTTGCTTTGTTTTTGTTTCGATCTGCATTGATCAGTTAATTTGTTGAATTATTTCATGATTTTGCAGATTTTAAAGTTGTAGAATTTTGAATCCTGGCTATGTACATTTCCTTGAAGAATACATGTTTCTGTATTTGCTTAAGTTTTGAAAATTTGAATTCGATCTGCTTGATCACAAGTAGTTGATTTACTTGAATATATTCAGGATTTTGAGGCTCTCAATTCTCTGATATATGAGAACTGGGAGGTTGATAGGTAGGTTCCTTCCATTTACCTCCTAAGAACGATATGCATAATTGTTGTCGATTTTTCTCATTTGTGTTTTGAATAGTAGGCGTCCAATCGAGCGCTGTTCACTCGTGTGAAATGTAAACACCAAAAACATAGTGTTAATCGTTATAAGGGAACTGGCATTTACTTCTCCCTCATCTTTCACATGCCACTTGAGCTAAGGATGAAGGTTATAAATCTTTATGGTATTCACACCTCGGTCTTATAAGGGTTTCTTGTCTGCCATTGCGATTTAAACTTTGGATTCGAATATAAGAATTCATGTTTGTCGTGTTTTGAGTTTAGACTGGACTTCTTTGATAGCATGTGGACGGAGCTTGAAAAGAAAACCAGAAAGTGTAATGGGAAAAAAGTTTTGCTTTTAATGACACATTCAGTACTTCTTTCTACTTATGGTTATCCTTTATGATATAGATTTGGTTAGAGAGCTTTCCCCTTCTCTAGATTGGATCATTTAGAACTTGGTGCATGAATTAAACATGGTGTATCGTACAATGCTTATTGTTTTGCATCACCTATTTATTGAACTTTTTTTATATGTTCGGCTCAGATAAGTAGCTGTGTACCAGCATGGCATCCAGTAGTCCATTTTTTGATGACATCCGGACCAAATCTGAGGTTATTGATCCTCCTCAAAGTGAGGACATGCTGGATGTTGGAGAAAGTGTCGATGATGCTACTGAAATGCCCCAAAAACCTAATGTGACAGTTTCTAGCAGTGTTCGCGAGCTGCTGGAGTGCCCTGTGTGCTTAAATGCTATGTACCCCCCAATCCATCAGGTTTGATTACTTAATAATTTTGCTTTATCTTATGAAGTCAAACCCACTCCCTTAGTTTTCATTCTAGTATTAATTCTACTCACTTATTCACGATATTGTAGCTGAAACTAGCGTGCTTTCTCACTTAGCCCTTACCGATGCTAATAATACTAATGAAAAGGGCTTGAAAACTTTGAATTTTAACGATAAGAACAAAATAAAGGGTAAAGTGAATAGTACCAGGATTGACTTTTTAGTGTAAAAATATGGTTTTTCGTTAAAGTGAACAGTACCGGTAGCTTTTCGTTAAAGTTCCCTTATTTTAAAGTAGCATCGAGTGTGAGGTTTTGACTTTGTGGGAGGGGTTCTCTTGGGAAACTGGTAGACGAGGTGCTATCATTTGCAACTTTGTGGACGGGTTTCTGTTATGCCACTATTGGTTTCACTCCTTACTAACCCTTGCCAAGTGCATATTCTTGAGCTGTTTGATTTTATTGAGTTCGCTTTTTTCCTTCAAATCTAAATGGTCTTTGGCGCATGTAAGTATTTTTAAGCAAGAACATATTAGAAGGCCCAATTGTAACTAACTCAACTTCTTACAATATAACAACTATCACTCTCTTGTTATATCTAATAAGTCTACCTATATCGTAATTACATAATTTTATTGTGGAGTCCTTCATTTGATGTAAACTTTTTTCTCTCTTCTTAAACTTTTTCCTTTAGAAAGTTTGAATTTATTTATTCATGTAACATAGGTTTTTGTCAAATTTATTTACAATATTTATTAAGAAAACAGAAAAAATAGTTCTTTTGAGGGATGGAAAGCTTTTCAATAGGACCCCAACTTTGTTCTTTGCCTAATTGGCTTTCTCGCTTTTTGCAGTGTTCGAATGGTCACACATTATGTTCTGGTTGCAAACCAAGGGTTCACAACCGGTGCCCCACTTGCCGGCATGAGCTTGGTAATATCAGATGTCTTGCGTTGGAGAAGGTGGCTGCTTCTCTGGAACTTCCATGTAAATACCAGAGTTTTGGTTGCATGGGCATATACCCTTATTACAGCAAGCTAAGCATGAATCTCAGTGTCTCCATAGACCCTACAACTGCCCCTATGCTGGTTCTGAATGCTCCATCGTTGGAGATATTCCTCATCTTGTGGCCCATTTAAAAGATGATCACAAAGTCGACATGCACAATGGCAGCACTTTCAACCATCGCTATGTAAAATCAAATCCACAAGAAGTTGAAAACGCCACTTGGATGTTAACGGTATTATTCACTTTTGCCTTATTCTTACTGTTCTCCATTATCCTTCTTCACTCCCTTACAATTTAATCCTCAGCCAACTCAAAACCATTTAGCTTAAAAGCTTTGATGATCGATAAAACAAAGAGTGAAAAATCTGTCTCTAAAATGCTCTATGAGTCTTCCCAGCCTTCGGAAGGGTGGACTGCCGTGGCGAGCCACCAGCTGATCCCCTTTTTCAAAATAGAAAAATCTTTGACACAAACAAAGCATAACTAGAAATTTGCTATCTTTTCCAAAATCCGTCTTTGACACAAACGAAGCATAACTAGAAATTTGCCATCTTTTCCATTCTGCAGGTTTTTAGTTGCTTCAATCAGTATTTTTGCCTACATTTTGAAGCTTTCCAGCTCGGGATGGCTCCTGTCTACATAGCATTCTTGCGGTTCATGGGTGATGATAACGAGGCAAAGAACTACAGCTACAGTCTAGAAGTAGGTGGGAACGGGAGGAAGATGATTTGGCAGGGGGTGCCGCGTAGCATTAGGGATAGCCATCGCAAGGTTCGTGACAGTTTTGATGGTCTCATTATTCAACGCAACATGGCCCTCTTCTTCTCAGGGGGAGACCGAAAGGAATTGAAGCTTAGGGTGACCGGAAGGATATGGAAGGAACAGTGACAGCA